CTTTTAGGCATTACTACTTCATTATCTGTTGTCAGGTTTCCTTCAAAACCTTCCAATCTGTCAGCCTTAGCTTTTTCACGAGCCACAACCAATGATACTGAAATATAAGAATCACATAATGACATAATAATTTGGTATATATAGTATAAACACTAAGCCTTCCCAGGTAACGCCTGCTTATGCTTGTCCACGCATAGTTTTATTTGCTGACAACTTGACTAGAATTTTTTAAATTAAAAAATGGCACGTTTCAAAAATGCCCTGAAAATCTTAACTAAAGTAAAGGGAAAATTAAAAAATAAACTAAAAAAATAGAAGTCTTAAAGTACGATTAAAAAATAATAAGCTTACAAAATAAACATTAATAAACTTTTTTTTTTAAGATTTTCATAAAATGTCTTTTGTAAAAAGTCATTTACAAAAAAAAATTTAACTTCTTTTATAGAAAGTCATTAAAGCAAACTTTTTTGCGTTAATGTTTTTTGCTTTAAAGTCTTCCAATTGCTGCAAAAAATAGAAGCAGTGACTTGCTTAAACTATTAAAGCAACTTCGAATTGAAATATTTAAGCGTTTTAATCAACGTATTGAACAAAGTCCTTGCTGTTAATAAAAACAACATAAATAGTTGTAAACAATTAAAGTTAGTAAAAAAAATTTAAGTGTTAGTAAAAAATAATATAAATATATATAACTGATTGTAGATGAAAATAATAATAGTAATTAAAAAAAACATTTGTTGCATTCATTAAAGAAAAAGTTTAAGCAAAACAGGTTTTAGTAAAAGTTTAGTTTTTTTGATGAAATACTTAAAGGTTTTTGAATTAAAAAAATTTAAATAAAATTTATTATAGAAATAGTTTTAAAATTAAATTTTACATACCTATAGAGATAAATAAAATTACATGCATTAAAGTTCAAACTTTTGATTATATTTTGTTAGTTTTGCTTTCGTTGTTTTTAAAACTTATTTTTTGACGCAAAGTATTGAAACGCTTAATATAATAAAACTTGACAACGGGATCAAGTTGGCTAAATAAAAAACTAAAGTGTGGACAAACAAGAGGAAAAACTGTACTCCTGGGAAGGCTTGCACACTAGTCACAGTTTTAGCTAAGCACGTTATAAAATAATTTTAATTAGTCATAACATTGTGATATAATATATGATTAAAAATAACTAGTTTTTTAACTAAAAAAAAAATTTTTCACTAGCAAAAAATTTTTTCTTTTTACTTACGGTTTTTTTTTCAGTATTTGTCCATCATAGTTTTTCCACTGTCCATGTGTCCACTCTACTTTATTGAAAGCTTCAGTTTTATTTTTTAATAATTTATTTATAATAAGATACGAAGAAGATACAGGATATGATGCAGTTAATTCATTTTTAAGCCAAGACATTAAAATGAGCTCAGTGTGGGGTGCAGGGTCTTTAAAACGAAATACTCCATAGCATAACTAAAGAAAATAACAAAAACACAATCACATTTTTTATCTTTTAAATAATAATAATTACACTATACTATACATAAAAAGTTATTCAGATTCAGTTTCAATGTTGCTAAAAAATAAAAATAATATATATACAAACTGTCTGGTTGCCCCACCGGGCTACCCCAGGTCATAAGTTACCAGGTCGCCATTTGAGAAAACGAGTTGTCTTGTGCCCCCGGACAACCATGAAGGTACTGATTATATATATTTTACATGAACACAACTTTTATCTACCTTTTTATTCTCTTTAATTTCAATACCAATAAGTTTGTTACTTATAGTGAATGCATTATGTACATATATTTATATAGTAGCTCTGAACAAAATTTGAGTAGTATTAAAAGTTTTCCTACTTAATTGCAGTGGGCCATTGGGAAAACAGCTAATGTAGCATCATCGTATGGTACCCTTACACATTTGCATTTTACAGCTATTATAGGTACAACAATTCTGTTACTGCAATCTTGAACAATGTGAATTCCCAAAGAGGATGATCTACGAGGATATGTATAGAGATCTTTTTTGTTTGAATAGATCATAGATATTATTACTTTGTCTCCTTTAAGCAAGTTCTTTACAAAATTCATTGCTAAGCAAACATCCCCAGTGTTAGTTGTGAAGCAATTATCTGGCTCTCTTATAGTCAATTTGAATCCTTCAAATTGTGCTTCTTGAAATTGTGATCCTGTTACACCTTCAACTAGTGATCCATTTTTGTGAAGTTTCGCAAACTTCACTTTATGGAATGGTCTTTTTCTTACTGGTGGAAAGTTGAGTAATAATTCTTGGTGACGTTTGACTAACTGCTGGAGTGGTCTTAGAGATTCTTTTAATAGCTTTCTTATAGCGCCATTTTCATTTTCGTATTGAAACGCAGAAAAGTTTTCTAACCTCCCGTATGTTTCTGCATCACCTGCTAAATGAATCAGTGAATGTATGTTTTGGCTCACAAACTCAGCAGCATATACTGCTGGAAAATCATTTGTAAAATTTCGATAAAGCATATCACAATATGCAAGATCTGCAGCAGTTGCTTCACGACTCGACATCTGGCTAGCTACATGTAAGCCAACAAAGTGATCGTAAATATCCTTGTTTTTTCTACTTCTATCTAAAATACATTTAAGAATGACAGGACCAGTGTATAATAAAAAAAGACGACATTCTGTTGCCTTGAATGAGCCAACAGACTCCATTTCCCGTGGCTTTCTTTGAAATTCCATAGGAATGTATCTCTTGATTCGCCCACATTCCATAGTTGCTCTTGTGATGAATCTTCTGTGCAACCTATGTGGTGAAGGTTTATTTCCAAATAACATTTTAAGAATTTTCTTGCATGCTCCAATATAAAGCTGGTGGAGTGGATCGATAGGAAACATTTTTACAAGATCAAGAAATGGGATTCTTATCAAAGGACAGTCTGAAATGTTATATTGATCATCATGTTTCTGTCTTATACTTTCATCAGTACGTTCCTCTGCATTGTTATCCAAAAAACACATCCTACGATTATTACTAAATCCT